TTGGGAAGTCCAGAGCGTTAAGATTTACCAGACGTGATAGAACGGACTGTGATTCTTTAGACTACTTATAGATGGGGTTTTTATGGTGTATTTTATGATGTATCTAATGTGTTTCTGGTGTATTCTTAAGAGGATAATTATGGATTGGCTTAATTTAAATTTCGGGTTCTGGTCATACCTTGCGATGGGGCCCTAAGACTTTGAATTCGAGGTGATAAGTAAAGATTCTGGGCGAATTAGATATATCGAAAATCTTGGTCGAATCCATTGCTATCCAACTTGGGAACAAGTAAGACTTCGTCTTTCTTTTTCACAAAGCAAATAGACTTCCGAGTCCAACTGGCGTTCCCCGTTATAAGGATATCGTTCTCCGCCGTTTTCAAGGAACGGTGGTCAGAGATAACCTTTGAATCAGAGAATATGTCGGGATTAGGTTCTGATGTGCATGTTAGTTTCAGTTTCAGGTGTTCGAGGTCTGCAAGATTGTGAAGAATAGTGGAGTAGATCAAATGCTGTAAAGCATAAGGAGTCAGCACAATGATTGTACCAGTCACAATAGTCAGACAAGGCAGATAATAGTAGACTTACTATGGACTCTTCTTCCCAAAGTGTACATGCAAAGTGAGTTAATTTCGGACACGCATTGGTCATGGAACCAAGGAATGCCAGAGTAATTGCTGTTGGCCAACAATCAGGCAAGACTAACTTGCGGAGCATCTTCGCGTTGATTAATCCACTGATAAAAGATATCTCCTCTTCTTCTGCATTATACCGAGACAAGTCTACCTCCAGAGACTCAACTGGAGCTCGGCACTTTGTGCACAATGCCAGGTAATCGGACACATATCCGCTGAAATACCTGAGGTTCGGAAGCAGACCTAAGAAGCCCGATTCACTGCTAGCTAGGCATTCTAGCTTTTTGATCCCAGGATGACGCACCAAGAAGGTGTTGCAGTTCATGAAATAGATGCAAAAGAATTTTTGCAGGAGGGGAAAAGTGAAGCTCGGGTCATCCAAGACTTGCTGAATGCGTTCGCGAAAAGATTGTTGTCCGATGATATCGTTAAGGAGACGCAGGTGAAGTTCTCGGAGATTAGGGCACGCTTTTGGAACCATTTCCATAAACCTTGCTATGGAATTGATGTCTTCAGGATCAGCTATGAAAGGAAACGCTCTGGATTACAGTGCACTGGTTCCCAAGACTTCCACTCACAGATATATTCGAATCCCCACCAGTCTAGTTCCAGGGAGGTCAAAGATGGCGAGCTGCAACAAAGTAACACCTGCACATACAGTACACAAAAAATTACTTAGCAACTTGGCTGAACATGAGCTCAAGACTCACAAAGATATCCAAGCTCCTCCTTTCCATAATGGGGCATCGAATAAAAAGCTCTCTGAGATTACTAAAAGCAGTTGAGTTCCAGCCTTTGAGAACCTCATGAAGGGGCATTTTTGGGAATCCGAGCTCCAAACGACGCAGGCCAGCATACTTGGCGACGTTATTTAACGCCGAAATGGCCTGTCTTCTGAATAAATTCTCTCGAATGACCTACTGCTCCATCTCCTCCGAGTCCAGATCCTCCCGATTAAATTTCAGTGTCAAAGTTTCCACAAACGACGCAGGATGAGGTCCTTTCAGTGGCATCCTTTCATTTTCCGACAAAGTAAGGGTAGGTATTTGATCATGGAGCGAGTCCACTGATTCATATAGACGGCGATTGAACACATCGTAGCAGTTTTTCGATACGAGGCACAGAGAAAATAGGCTTTTGTGCTCTTGAATCTCTTGGGAGATGAGATCAAGGATTTCGTCAGGCAACGCGCTGAATCGATCCATTCAAATTGCTACGCGAGTGCAGGCGAGTGAACTCGTAGATCTCGAGCCAGTACTTCTGTGTAACACTTTGATGACAATCCTGCGGACGAGATAATATCAACTCACGCAGCAGGACGGGTTCGGGTCTAGTCAACTCGAGTAACGATCAGTATACGCGAGAAAGAATTATAAACATCACACTCACCAGGACGCTGCGTTCTCGACCAAAAGACTCGAAAAGCCAGTGACAGACAGACAAGCTGGCCAAAAACTAGGGCAATCAATGTCTCAATGGTTAAACTCAGACTCCAGAGAGGTATCCGCGTGTTGGTGTTGGTCGAAGGCAAAATGAATGAGTTGTAAAAAATCGTAAATTGTTTTGTGTACGAGTGCATAATGTAATTACTATGTTTTATGAATTGGAGAGATGTACATGTACAGTGCGAGTCAGTGACAGCGCGAGTCAATTATTGTAGGTGATAAGTAAGTAAGCCAAAGTACACAAGTCCCAAATGAAATATGAATACTAATACCAGCTACAGAGTGTGTTATGCTTCTACCGCAGACCAATCACTTCCCACATCCTCCGAGTCCTGTTCCGTCCGTTTGGAAACACCAGTAGAGTCATTCGAGTTAGGCGGCGGGTAGTAAGAATGTGTCCGACAATTCAGCATCAGACTCCTCCTGCTCTTCTCTTCAGAAGTATAGATAGCAACCGGTTGTTGGTCAGAGACACGAATCGTCGCGACAGAGGAAGCACGAGCTGACAGGTGGGTAAGAGGATGTAGGTGCGTCAGATGAGGTAGGCGGGTAAGAAGACTCTGTAGACTCGGAGTCGTCCTCTGGCTGTGCCGCGGATTCTTCGATAGCAGCTTCCTGCAAGGAAACGACCTCTTCCATGTGCTCAACCTGAGGAGTGGAATCGCTGCCTTCAGTTACCAGGAGCGGAAGCTGGTTCGGATTCTGAGCTTCTGCGTACGATGGAGACCTCGGTTGCAGCGACAGGAGAAGTGTCCGAAGATTGATGGTCAAGAGAAGAAGAGGTCGTTGGTGTCGACGGGAGCGTCTTCGATTACTTACAGGCTCAGAGATTGGATTAGAAGAGACATCGGCGACGCTTTCAGCGGCAGGGACGTCGGGCTCAACAGTGGCGTCTGTCGCGACAATAGATTCTGTAGCTTCAACAGCTTCGTCATTGTTGTCCTTCTTTTCAGCCACCTCCGCCTCTTCTTCGTCTCTGTCAACCCGAACTTGACTCCTGTTCCACTTGTTCCATCTGGCTTCCACCTTCTTCTCCAATTCCTCCAAGGCTCCTTCCACAAGAGCTACAGCTGCCTTCCGTCTGACTCGAACATCGGCATTTCCATTGCTCTCGATATCGTCCAGCTGAGAAAGGAGCCTCGTAAGGGACTGCTCGTAGAATCGGATGGGGTGGTTACGAGCGGTGTAAGCTAGCTTTCGGATGGTTGGAGTGTCAGTTTCGGATGCGTGACCAGACTCGTCACGGGCAGGAGAAGAGGAGCGAGAAGGGGCGGGGGAAAAGTCGACATCGGAAGGGAAATCGAATTCATCTTGAAGTGCGGTGAAGGAGGCTTCGATGTTCCTTACAGACTCGAGAGCCTTGTGAGCGTCGTTAGTTGTAAAATTGGCCTGAGGCTCTGGTGCTTTTCCCTTGCCCTTGCTGTTGCTAGCGGAAGCAGGAGCAGCTGACGGTTGGGCAGGTGAGTCGGAGAGAGAAGCGAGCAGAGCCTGGATGGTATCCTTGATCTCGACAGATTGATCATTGTTCAAACGAGCTTCCAGCTGCTCCTTCAAAGAAAGAGACGAAACCGGACGAGATGCAGGTGCAGGTACTTGTTGAGGTTTCTCGATTTCCGCAGCCTTGGGCTTCACCTGTAATGTATCGATAAGCATCGTTGCTGGATGGGATACTAAATGATAATCGCATACCTGAGTAACTGGTTTCGAAGATGATGCTACGTCGTTTTCATGAGGATTGAAAATGAGACGAAGAACATCCTCTAGAGATTGAGGGGATGCCAACGATTCGCGAACTGGGGTAGGCTTGACAGTAGGAGCAGGAGGAGCAGAAACCTGCTTCTTGGGTTCCTCTTTAGCAGGCTTCTGCTGGGACTCTGGCTGGTGCAGTTGCTTTATGAAGTTTGTGAATAGATGATCAAGCACCTGCGCTTCCGAGTTGACATTGGAAACGGGTCGACGAGAAGGAACGACCTTGGGCTCAGCCTTTATCTGTAGCAGACTGATTAGCACGAGTAGCAGATTAAATAATGTTATCCGTACCTGTCTGGGCTGTTCTTGGTTTCCGAAGAGCTGGTTCAAGAAGGTCGTCACTTCAGAGGTATCTTCAGGATAACAAAGAGAAGGCTGAAGATGCCGTGAGCCTTTCTGAACAGAACATGGAAACAGAAACGCAAATACCTTCTTTGCTTTCAATACTTGAGCCTGTCGAGCAGCTTCAAGTTGCTGAGATTGACGTCGGACAGCGCGTAAGCGAGCTTCTTCCTCCTCGCGAAGACGAGTAAGCTGCTGAAGCTTAGCCTCTTCTTCTTTCCTTTTCAGTGCGAGAAGCTGAGCCTCCTGATCGCGCTTGCGGTGGAGATACTCGAGCTCAAGTTCCTGCTGGCGATGGTGAATAGCAGCGGCGCGCTCGAGCTCCTGATCTTCCAAAGATCTGCGATAGTATGCATCATGACCGAGTCCTTCTGAGCGTCGGCGAGCGTATTGTTTCTGGAGTTGAATCTCCTCGAGACGACGGATAAGATCTTCCTCTTCGCGCTCAGCAGCCTCGGCAGCCCTGAGTTCAGCTAGAGAAGTGAGATAATTCTCGCGAGAGTACCTAGGTTGTGAGTAACCCAGGTCATTGGACAAGGATGAGATGAGAGTAGGTTGGAAGCGGTACATGATTCGATAAGACTTTGAAGAAATTGATACTCTAAAAAGGCGGAGAGTCCATGGCTTTTATAGACTTTTGAACAATTGGATGAATAAGTCATTTCGACGCGCGTCCGCATACGCGTCGGTAATCTTGAATCGTCGGGTTGATCCAAGAAAGTTCTCGAATTTTCGCTTACTTACGCGTACGGAGCTTACGCAGCTGTGTGACTCAGCATGAGTCAACCTCGGCCTAAACATAAAAATAATAAACTGCTCTCATAAGTATCCGACCATAGCTCAGTTGGAAGAGCATAAGACTGTAATTGGCTAACAATATATCTTGGGGTCGCCTGTTCGAACCAGGCTGGTCGGATTTCGATTTCTACTTCAGACTTGTTTTTTTCTTCTCCACCGGAACCGATTTTCAAATGCGCGACCGAATCAGTTTAGACCCTCATATTCAACAAGCATGATAATTTAACGCAGGTCGGTCGTTAGCTTTTGCACCCTAACAAGTACAACTCTGACCATTACTTTTAAAACCTACATACGCCCTCGCCCCATAAATTCAAGATCAATCCCCGCCACTCCCAGCACTGCACGTTCATGATCTGCCACCCTTCTTCTTCTTGTTCACCACCTTGAATCCACCCCACTCTGATTGCGCCTGAGGCTTGGGCTGAGCCTTCACCACGTCCGCAATGGACACCGACTTTCCTGTTGCCGCACCAGGGCCAGCTTTCGCTCGAGCCACAGCGTCCGCCTTTCGTCTGCTCATAAAGTCCGCAGCGAACCGTCGACCGTCGAGGGTGGTGCTGTTTGCATATATAAGGTCGGATACAATTTCTGCTGTCGAAGGATCAGGATCCACAGGAAATGACAAGAGCATCGTTATAATGTCCTCGACTGGTATTTCAAAAAATCAGCGTTGGAGCAGTAGGCATAGAAAAAGCCAAATTTCACCATTGACAGAGCTATTCAGGCCCTTGAGTGATTCAGCGAGCCACTTCAAAAAGTCGCCTGACGGTGCTATAGGAAACTCGTCCACCTTGGCGTTATTTGTAGGTGCCTTGCTTGCGGGAGCAGCAGGTCGTGCAGCGGTACCGTTGACGCGTGCGGTGGCCGTAGAGCTACTGGCAATGGGAGTCGGAGCGACCGGAGGACGAGCAGGAGGAGTAGTCGCAGAGGTCTGTTTTCCACTTGGACCAACTGTAGTCCATGCACTGCCTACAGTCGGAGCTGCAGGCGCCTGAGCCAGATATTCAATAAAGTTCCCTTGAACAAAGTAGAAAACTGACCTTGGAAGTACTCTCAGCATAGCCCCTCCGACTAGCAACATTAGCGGCAGTCTCCTTCACAACAGCCTTCTTCCTTCTCTCCTCCTCCTCCTGAATCTCCTTCATCGACTTCTTGGGTTTCGCAGCATTGGTCCATACTGGAGGGGTGGTTACCGGCGGAGTGGGCGCAGAGACCTCCTTCGGTGTGGCGGCAGGAACAGAACTCTTGCCAGCCTTGGAGGTAGGAAGACCCCAGGACGCTGTGAAAGGCTGAGCATCCTCCACAGGCACCGCTGAAGGCTGAGCGGCACGTGTAGCACGCTCCTTCTCCCTCTCGGCAGCCTTTTTCGCTTCTGCCTTTTTCGCTTCCGCATCCTGAATCTTGCGGAGACTGGTGGTGGTCGACTTCTTTGGTTCGTCCTCCTTTGCCCAGGCCTTTGGCGTCACTACCGCCGTGGCCGTGGGGTTAGGTTCAGGTAGCTCGATCGTCATCGGAGCAGGGTCTGGTACAATAGCTTTAGCTGAAGTACTTTGTTGCTGAGGGATAGTCTGTTGCAAAGTCGATTTAGCTCGGGATTTTGAAGGAGCTGGGGCAGATGCGGCGACTGGGACTTCTGGAATAGACTCAGGAGTTATTTCTGCGACGACATCGACAGCAGCTTCTTCTTCCAGCTGCGTTTCCTCCTGATCATGTTGGCCAAGGTTGCTGACAGTGAGGCTGGACGTAGCCTGCTGCTCGTCTTTCCAGTCGTCCGTGATACCTTGAGAAGCCGCAAGCCAGGGAGAAACATCGTTAACTTGTGAACTGGATTGAGAGCCTCTACCTGTACCCCAAGGGGACTGGTTATTTACAGCGGATGTTTTCGAGGGGGTAGCATCGAAGGGAACAGTACGCTTGGTGATGGGGGGATCAAAGGCACCCCAGGGAGGTGCGGTAGTATTTGGGTCAATGGGTGGCTGACTGGCACGCATAGGAGCCTGTTGCTGCTGCTGGTCAAAGATGTCAGGGATAGTTTGCTGCGTAGTGTAGTGCGCAGAGGGTGACGGAGGAAATTGCTGCTCTACAAAGCCCATTCCTCCCAATGATGGGTGGCTTGGTGTGCCAAACGATCCCTGGAATCCGTTGGTGCCGGGTGTCGCAACGAAATGCGACGAATTCCCTACACCATACCCACTATCATAGGCTGGCGTGGACCATGACCCTGCAGGCGAACCAAAGCCACCATTGACATCAAGAGAGCTGCCTCTACCTGGTGCGATGTTGCCAAACCCTGGTGATCTATAGTCATTTGGTGGAACGCCGAATCCAGACCTCCCGGAGAGAGCAGGAGATGCTTCGCCGGTGTTCAATGGGTAACCACCGAGACGATTACCCATGTCACCGCCCATAGCGAACTGGGCTGCACGTCCTCCGAATGCAGCAGGATCCGGGGAACTATTGTTATATCCTCCAGGGGCGCCAAAGGAGGAAGCCGGAGAGTCCGAATAGTTGGAGTTGAACGAATCCAACGTAGAACTACGAAGTGTGCGGATAGGTGAAGGCTGGAAAGGACCGTTATGGTATACAGCTGCTTCGTTCGGATTTGAATACGAAAACGGAGAGTCTGTTCGGCGAATTAAACCAGGAGGAGCATGAGCTGGGATGGGAGTAAGGAAAACTTTGCTATTGTTGCCAGCACGCCGCTTCAATTCACCAACAGGTGTCCACTCGGTGTCGAAAGTAGTCCGTTTCATAAGCAGGTTGTCCGTAAAGTAGCCTTCATCACTCCATTTTTGCATTATATCCGCCTTAAATGGACCTAGAAGACTGCTATTAGAAGAAAAACAGCAGAAGTAATTTAATAGATACCTTGAACTTGGCCTTGTGGATCCAAATATGACCACTCCACACTAGCCAGGTCAACGATACCAGGGAGGAGGACCAATGGAAGCCGAGGTGCTAGCAGGTGAGTCTGCGAGGCTCTGAGCCCCAGGAACGTCCAGAGGGAGTTGTGCGGCACCAGGTTCGATGTTATCAGGTCTCTGCATTGTAACGCTGGACAACGTGCTTTGAGCATCTTTCTGAGGATCCTGACGGTCAGGATTGTTTTCTTCGTCTTCTTCCTTAATTTTCAGCTCTTTGGGGTCCTCGCCTGGGTCTCGAGCCGAACCAGGCGCGGGCTTGGAAGTTAATCCTTCTGAAGCGCGCCGGCGAGCGATCCACGACTCTCCGCCGTTTAAAACACCGTCGAAACTAGGCGTATGACCAAGGCGACCGCGAGGCGAAGGAAGCGCTGCTTCACGAGGAGACATGAGAGGTGCCTGGCCGGTCAAAGAGAGTTTTCGCGGCATTGAAGGGCGGTTGATCTTGGAGGATTTCAGAGTTTATAACAAGGGACAAAAAGAAGGACTGACCAGTACTGTCTCGTCTGCGCGTCATGAGTGAACCGAAGCGTTCTCTGAGAGGACTTCCTGCTGCAGAAGCAGAATTTGCGTGATTCAAACGAGGCCGTTCAAGATTTTGCGTATTAAGATGCAAAAAATCTGTTGATTGACGACGACGTAGATCAGAGTTGAGCGGGGTGGCGAAAAGCTGGAAATAACCATGAGATGAGCTCGGGCAAAGGCAAAAAACCAGAGATTTGAATAAAGAACTCAAACCTTCTTTTCTGCTTCACCCATTTCTTTGAGTCCAATGGGGTCTATGCCTGATTCTCTGACTACGCCGTCCCATCTTTCTACTTCCAACCCGAGTCCTCCCTTCCCGCCGCCTTCTCGGTAAATTCGCAGCATTTCTTCCTTGGAATATCGGAATGGGTGAGTCTGGTCTTTGCTTTCTACAGGCGGCGCAGCAGCTGAAGAAAGAAGCGAGGAATATGTAGACGCGGCTGAAGCCGAAGCACTTGCAGGCGGAGGAGAGGGTGGCGCCTGCGTGCGCGATGCTGGCTGAGGTTTGGTTCTCATCCATTCCGGCCCAAAATGCATCGTGGTGGTAGTCATTTTGCAGTACAAAAAGTGGTGCTAGTTTGCTGTTACTTTGCTGTAGAAAGTTTCGAGTTTCGAGTTTTGAGAAAAGAAATTCGGGCTGTGATCATGGGACAAATTTGTAATCCTCCCTCAAAAAAAAATTGAAGTCAAGCTACTGTTCATTCTTTAGACATTATAGTTTAAGTAAATAATAACCACTATTTACACTACTTGCAGACTAGACATCTATGACAAACTTACCCTCCAGGCCAAAGGTGGCAATTCTGGGAAAGAAACAAAAAAAAAAGTTAGTCCTTGTCGCACGACCATGTCCAAGTACTTACCCTGGAGCTTCCTAGCAGTAGGAATTATGAACGCAACAAGGAAAATTATCCCGAATATAAAGCAGCCCGCAGACATAATATAGTAACCGTCCGTTTCTGTAACGCATGTTCCTCCAATTTCACGACAAGTCGCTTGACCGTGTTCAGACACACATTCGGCAGCTGAGAAAACAGTTAGCTAGAAGAACGGCGAAAAAATCTGTTATACCTTTCACAGCAAGCTCAGTCCCAGCCTCTTGCACTCTGCAGGTTGCGACACTGAAAAAATCAACGCCTGGAACAGGTTGAGACAAAATCATAGCGCACAACTATCATCACTTACCCTTCAGGATAAAGTACTTGGGCCATGTTCCTCCCAGATTGGTAAACGTATTGAGTAGCTAGATAGCATGAATGAATGGACGAAACGATATACTTATAGAACCAATAGACTTACCGTCATATACGTGCCTCCGATCAGTGGGTCAGAAATACGCGTATGGAAAGCCGAGATACCAACAAACTGGACGGTCCTAGAAAAGATGTGAGGAAGGAGATGAAGAAAAAAACGAAACAGTAACACACGATGAGAAGGACGACAGTACAGTGTGTACGATCAAAAACGTGAAGAATCCATTTGAGATGGGCGGTGTGGGGAAGTAGTAGACAATGAACGTAGCCATCAGACCAAACCCAAGACGGGGCCAGAAGGCCCATATCCATGGTCGCAAAGGATGATCACCCCGCGACCAGCGGGCAGCAATGTATCCACCGAAGATTTGGAAAGGAAAGTCGATTAGAACCGCTATAGCTAGTTCTTCACGCTT